CTGTTGGCTGACTGAGCTCTCCTCAAATGGTGGAGGGCCCCACTTCAGAGCTCCTGGGAGGGGGGCCGTCAAAGTTTCCCTGGTGTGCTCCTTCAAAGCGAGCTGGGCATTTGCTGGCTATGTGCTCTGTTGACTTACAAGTTCTGCATCTTGTTGCTGTGTCAGATGCTAGCACTTTTACCTGGCATGATGTCTCTATGTGTCCAGGGGCCCCACAGTAAAAGCACAGTCCTTGATTTCTTCTTCTTTGCTTCTCTCCTGTTGACTGGGATTTCTTTGTTGCTCCAATTTGCACAGGGTTCTCCTGTGCTGGATCCTGAGGAGACCATTGAGGGGTGGAATGGGGGAAGACAGGCTGTAGATTCTTTTTCCCTTACTGTTCCTTCCCTGCCTTAACTCTTCCAGGCAGGTATCTATTATTATACAATGTTGATACAACTCTTCCAGGGTATTTAGGGTGCCTTGCCTCATCAGCTCTTCTCTTAGGTCCTTGGCTAGCCCTTCTCTGAATTGGTCAGTCAGGGCTAAGTCATTCCACCCTACATTGCTAGCAAGTAATTTAAAGTCTGCAATATGTGACTTTACTCTCCTCTGTCCCTGTTTGAGCTTCTGGATCTCTTGACTAGCAGTGATTCTCTGTATGGGATCCCCAAAGTGTAATTTGAGTTTTTGCATGAAGTCCTGATAGTTCCCCTCAATGAAGAGTATTGCCCACTTAGCTGCTGCTTCCTCCAGCAAACTCAGCACAAAAGTCAATTTGGTGTGATCTGTAGGAAACTCCACAAGCCTGCCTGCCATAAACATTTCACATTGAGCAATGAATGTCCAGAATTGATCTTGGTCTCCTCCAAACTTCTCTGGCAGACTCCCATGGGAACCAGGAGCATTGGCTGAGCTGCCATTTGTTGTGCTGCCACGGGTTGGGGCAAATTCTGCCCCAGCTGTTGTGTTAGTTGTATCATGGCATTCTGCAAATTGGACATCTGTGCATCCCCTTGCTGCTGTTGTTGCAACAATGCTGCTGCCAGATGCTCAATGGATAGCAGAGTTCCTTGAGGATTGGAGGCATTCCAAGGAAGGAAAGAGGAGGAAATTTCCAAGAGGAGGAAATTCCTCTCTTTGGAAGAGTGTAGGAGACATGCAAGATTGATGTGAGCCTTACTAGGCAGACCAGACAGGAAACACAACCAGATGAGCTAATTCTACTTTATTGTAAAGCTACATTAAC